CTACACACTCTTGGTGCATTTTACTTAAAACGGCAGAGTTGGCTTCTGTGACCATAACCTGGCAGTGGAAACAGCGATAGGTTTGAGTACATATTGCTTTAACTTGAGGGTGGTTACCATGCCAATTAAACCGATCAGGATGGCTAAGGATTCAAAAGTTAAGAAGAAGAAGCTGTGTCGACTGTTCCATCCCATCAACTTTTTCTTAAAACGTTTTTACTGTACTACATTAAAATTCTTCAATTTCTTCTAAAGTTTTCTCAGAAACCCCTCATAGGTCTTGGGAAAAGAAAGACAATTCCCTAACACTGATTGAGGGGTTTTGTGAGGAGAACATGAGTCTTTGAGCCCAGGTATGTGCCATAATGTACACCAGACGGTCACCTCTCATCTGGTGATGATACCTAACGATCAGGTACATCTCACTGTGGGGTGATGGAGGATACGTTGACTCACCTCAACCTATCTTCATTGTACTTCCCCCAAAAATAATCAAGATCCATGATAGATACACCATCAATGGTCTTCACCATTACGTATTTACTATACGATACACTTTCGTATTTACCAGGTAGTTTCTTAATGGACTGAGGAGGACTTGTCTCTTACCTGGTTTTGGGAGCTTGGGAACCATTCGAGGGGGGTTACCTTTTTTGCCCTTTGAGAATCTGGTAAGGTTCCAGAGTGACAATTATGTGATGTTCAGTGGGATTGGCCAGGGGGATTGCGAATGTTGTCAGGTGAGGAGAGCAAGTTCTTTTTAAATTTGTAGTTATCTTACAAAATTAGAAATCTTTATTTCCTCATCCACCCACACACCATGGGTGCTACATGGATGCCATTTTGTCTCAATCCCTCACTGGTGATCCCTCCAGTATGGGTAGCACTCTGGTCCGGCTCAACAGATTCTTTCGGGACCTCAAGCCCCCAGCGCGGCACGGCGGCTTCCGTTAGGGGGGAGCCTGGCGTGAGCGTGTATGGGGAAAGACCCTGGGAGGCACCGCAGGCAGTTTGTTGGCGATACCGGCAGCCGGCCAACCTTGTCTTTTTGGGTGCTTGGTAGGGGGGGCAGAAGGTGGCACCCACCGAGAGTGAATGCACTGACCTCGGGTGGGGGCTTCGCGACGTTTCGTTCTTGCAAAGGACGACAGTTGCCAATACTGTCGAGGGATTGAAAGCCAGCTGTAGTGTGGGGCCTGCTCTCTACGGAGGTGAGGGAGACCTGGTAGCTAGCACAATTAGTGTGGATGGATACCCTTTACTGGTCGGGCCATAGTGATGGCACCATCTCCTGGGAGTAACCTTAGCCATCTCAGCTGACTTCAACCTTGGTAGTTAGTGGTCACTCCAGTCGCCCATTGTGTGTATTATGGTATTAAGACTGAAATGCTTTTATTTGGCTCATGTCTCTTATTGCGTGTATGCTCCTATGGATGTATATTAAACTTGGGGTGAAAGAGTGTTTACGCCAAACTTGCATCTGTGAAAGACAGTGTCCTCAGCGAGATATTCGTATTGTTCTGGGTGACTTAAAGCAATATCTGGCTACGATTGAGCTGGATATGAGATGTCTGTCAAGTCCTCATTGGCTCCGGGAGTGGCTAGAGATGTCTGTCGGTCTAATGGTCTCAGGAGATGTTGCTGGCAGTGAGATTAGCCTCCTTTGCCCATGACTTTGCTAACTCCCAGATTTGAGGTTATGGCTCCTGGTATCAGCACCTCTGACCCAATCGCCCTTGGAATATGGTACTGTGATACGTGTGATTGCAAGGAGATCGACATCGTACTTGTTTAGCCTTGTTGGAGGGGCCTCCAGAACTGCAGGGTGATCGAAGCGCCGAGTTCTGTGAAACCGATCATAGATTAGTTGTGGCTACACTCCAGCGTCCACCTTTAGAATGCTCCGTCGCCCAAGTGAACACACTAGGAGGTTTCACTTGGACAGATTGGGAGGATGGGTGTTACCTGGGTGTTCCCCTAAGGCTATCTCTGGTCTTTCACTGCCACTTTAGGCCTGTCAGACCTTGTCCTTATCTGGACACCTTCAAGTGTGAAACGCTAGGCGCAGCCATGATTCAGTGGTGAACGCCCAAGAGCATAGACAGAATTCATCTCGTTGGAGACACTGGAAGCACAGGATGATGTCGTGCAGCTCGATTGTCAGGGGCGATCACAAACTGCATCATTCTCTGGCGCGTAGGACTAGGGACAATGTTGTGAAGGATAAGAGGAAGAACAGTTTTTCTGGTTTCTTGCCAGAGGTAGTCGAAAGCCATTTTCTTGGTAAATGACCTTCGCCCAGCCTGAGATAGCTTTATCCAAGACCTCCTCACAGACGAATGCAGTCTGCTCAGCAAATGGCATAGATTAATCTCAGATCCTGATGGGGTGGCTGTGCATTGCGGCTGAGTATTTGAGCCAGTTCTATCATGGTTGATCCCTCCAACAGTTAAAATCGATGCAGAATGTCGTGATTCCTCTGCCTGCCCACCCATAAGCGAGGATCACAAAGATCCACCCTTACCTGGTCTTGTTAGTCAAGGGAGCGATCTCCAAGCATGATGATGGAAAAGCAGCAGTTAAAACAATTGTTAAAGGCTGGTGGAGAACCTATTGGCAGGGGCTTGCGACAGTGTCCTGTTCGGCCATTCTGGCAGACCCAGGACATTCCCCCTGAACTGTGAGGCGGGCTGTGGTCATCCCTCTCTGGAAGGGAAAGGGGATTGGTGGGATGCAGCAATCACCGGGCATTACACTACTCAGTGTACCAGGCAAGGGCACCCCTTGCACAATTCTTACTGAGAGATCTGAGACCACCTCTTGGAGTCACCAAAGGCCGAGCGATCGGGATTACTCGATAAGTCACAATAGACACATTCCTGTTCATTGTAGAGCGCGTGAGGTTCTGTCGTGGGCGGCTTGCCAGCCTACATCGACCTTAAAGGAAGGCGTTCGTACAGTAGCATCGCAAATCACTCAGGGAGATCCTGAGGCTAGAGGAATGCCAACAAGGATTGTTGGATTAATAGCAAACCGGTATACAGGCACTGAAAAGTGCTGTGGAAAATGTGGTGGGGGCCTGTCAGCTTCTTCCCAGTTAGTGCAGGGTTGTGGCAAGGCTGTGTTTCTTGCACCAACACTTTTCAACACTTGCATGGATATTGGTACTTGGTAGTAGCTACTATCAAAGTTACTGTGGAGAAAAAATTCTGGGCATATCAAGGTTACTGGCTTGACTTTGCTGATGTTGCCATTTTATCTGAATCTCTGAAACCCTAGTGGCGGCTCTTGATGCATTTTAGCGATGAAATGAAGCTCCTCCCCCCCCCCCTGGGCCTTCCCTCTCCTTCCCCCCCCCCCCCTCACCCTGGGCTAGAGGTTCTAGACCAAGGACCAAATCCAGGGGACCGGCCGGACTTGTTACTGCAAAATCAGTGATACCAAACTCAAGCTCTTCCCGGCCGCTTGGCTGGGACTTTCTCGCTGAAAGACCCTGTGTGAGTGTTATGTCTATTACTTTTTCTTTGTGACGATGAGACTAGTGTTAGCGCACCGAAACGCG